TCAAAAAAAAAAAATCGTCTACTTTTTAAGCGAGAGACCCTCACCTTATCGTTGGTCAGGTTCCAGGCACTTCAATCCCTTTTTTTCCCTTTGGTTTTCTGAATTGAACCTTTTTTTCCTTTTGTAATATGAGATTCAATTCCACAGATGCTGGAAGGTTCACTTCAGGAGGTGAGGTTCGAATGGCCGAAGGGAGATGAGACCGAGGAAGGTATGGTTGAAATCGACCGAAATATTCTGAAACTCAACGGCGTGTGTTACATTAATGGTACGTAATGAGTTCAGGTTATTTTTTATTTGTCATTTTATTATTATTATCATGTGTATTTCTTTTTTCTTTTTTTTATAATCTATTTATTCAGATAGTTTTTTGTCACGTTTATTCGTATAAATTAGTGTAGATTTACATGTGTATATAACATTTAAAGGACGTATAACATTCGTCTGGAATAACCTCATTACCATGCTACATAAGTACATAGAAATACCCTAATAAATATAATTATGTAACAGTAGACGAGACACTCGTTTTAAACAGACTGTCACATGGTATGCAACAGACAATACTAGACACAAGTATAACTTTGTACAAGGATGTGAAAATCAAAGATATGACCATAAAAATCCGACACAAAAATGATAATTTTCTGTAAACATAGCAACAATTATCAACAGATTCTGACCCCCCCACCACCACCACTCCCACCACCTCCACCACCCAAAACACTCCCACCAACACCCCCACCACACTCACCACCCCCAACACCCCCAACACAGACTAGGATATCAACCTCAAACACTCTTCCTTTTCCTTCCCACAGATTCCCTCGGCCTACACCGTGTGGAGAACGCCTCCCACAGTGAAGGTGCTGTCTCCCTCCACCTCTACTGCCCCCCCTTCAGCGCCTGCCAAATATTCGACGAGAGGACAGGGAAGAAAATGAAGTGCCCAGTTACCTTCTGGAGCAAGTTTGGGAAGAAAGTCGAAAACGTAAGATTGTGATTTATTTTTCTTATGGTTTTATAGTTGTTGTTGGTATTAGAGTTGATGATAATGCCATTCATAATGATAATAATAACGATAATTATAATAATAATAATAACGATAATTATAATAATAATAATAGCATTAGTAATAGCAATAATAATAATAATAATAATAATAATAATAATGATAATGATAATGATAATAATAATGATAATAATAATAATAATAATAATAATAATAATAATAATAATAATAATAATAATAGTAATAATGATAATAATAACAATGATAAAAATAATAACAGTAGGGATAATAACAATGAGAAAATATTGGTATTATTATTAATTAATAATATTGATAATAATGATATTAGTAATAGTAATAGATATAATAATGGTAATGATAATGACGATTATGATGATAATGATGATATAAATGATGATGATTATTGTTGTTCTTGTTTTTGTTACTGTTATTATTGTTATTATTACCATTATCATTATTACGATTATTGTTATTATTATCATTATTAATATTATTATTATTATTATTATTATTATTATTATTATTATTATTATTAAAATTGATGTTATTATTATCATTAGCGTTAGTAATATAAAAAATAGTAATAATGATGATAATGATAATGTTGATAATAATGATTGGGGTTAGGATAATGAAAATAACAATGATAATTATTATTATCATATAGTGATAACTATTATACGGCTACTACTATACTACTATTACTACTATTACTGATAGTGATAATGATAACAATAATCAAGATAGTAATAGTTAATGGTGAAAATTATAATAACAATAATAGAGATGATAATAAAGTAGTAATCATAATAATAGAATTCATTATAGTAATAATAGTAATAACAATAATGATTATAATTATAATGATGATGATAATAATAATGATAATAATAATAATAATAATAACAATAATAATAATGATAATAATTATAATAAAATTGGTATATTTTTCATAATAATAATAATAATAATAATAATAATAATAATAATAATGTTGCTAGTAATAGTAATGATGACAACAGTAATAATGATAATTATAATCAATAGTGAAAATTACAATAATGAAAATAATAATGATAGTAATAGTAATAATAACAATAAAGATTGTAGTGATAATGACAATGACAATGACAATAATGACAACAACAACAACAACAACAGCAACAAAAACAACAGCAATAATAATAATAATAATGATGATGTTAACTATTCAAGAAACAATGATATTCACCTCTGTCTTTGTCTTCCAGGGCCCTCCGAAGTCAGCCTGTTGAAGAGAAGACCAAACACTTACTTAAGACTCACAAAAGGAACACCATGTAGTTTATGTGGCTTAACGCGAAATATACCAGTGTTTGTTCTTCATAACTGTACGGTAACTTCTATATAGACTGTCACAATGGAAAGTGTGTATTATCTTTGAATGTCAGTGAGTTGCAGGCATTTATTTATTTTTCCTTTTTTAAAACGTGGCCTGATTTTTTTTTTCTCTTTTTTTCCCCCTCACTGATGAAGAGATCAAAGCTTCGTGATAAAGCATTAATATTTAATTTTTGTATATTTCTCTGAATCAGAGTATACCGTATTGTTTCCCATTATTTGCACAATATAAAATTTTGTTTTTTATTCTCGAAATCAAGAACTGAAATGAAGTCAGGTCTGGAAAAAGACATTCATTTTTTTTATTTTTTTTCATCTTGCTGGTATTATAAACACCGATTAATACTTTTGTGTACACTTAATACATTGTATTTTCATTCGTTATAAGGAATTGTAAGCTAAAATATTAATTAAGTCACTAATAAGCTGAAATGAAATAGACTTAAGTGACTAATAAAGTGAATTATAATTAATGACCAAAAAATGTGGCATGCAACTCATTTGCATATCACAAGTACGTTTTTTTTTTTTTAATCTAGAAAACCTGTTAATTAACTTTATCCCGGAAGTGTATATAGATGTATGTAACTGTATGTTTTTAGTTTATCAATTATACAATTTTTTTTCTATAATTTTTCTTGGTTATCACTCTCTGTTATTTCTCCCCTAGATGTTTGTAAATGCTTATCAAAAAAATGGCCAAGAGTTCATATATATATGTTCAGGATTTTAGTCATATATATATATTTTTTCATTAATGAAGTGACCAAGTTGATTATATCTACCCACACGTTAAGATATTTTTTTAGGTGAAGTGCCAATACAAAAGATAATATTCAGTCACACACACACACACACACACACACACACACACACACACACACACACACACACACACACACACACACACACACCTCTTGAAATAGCACATTCCACCTTCACCATTATCACTAAAAGGTTTGTTCTTTATGCTGGTTATGTGGCATCATAGTTAAACAAAAAAGTATGTCATATTGATTTTGCAATGACCTGAAAAGTATGTCATAATGATTTTGTAAAGACCTGAAAAGTATGTCATAATGATTTTGTAAAGACCTGAAAAGTATGTCATATTGATTTTGTAATGACCTGAAAAGTATGTCATATTGATTTTGTAAAGACCTGAAAAGTATGTCATGATTTTGTAATGACCTGAAAAGTATGTCATGTTGATTTTGTAAAGACCTGAAAAGTATGTCATATTGATTTTGTTGAAAAGTATGTCATATTGATTTTGCAATGACCTGAAAAGTATGTCATATTGATTTTGCAATGACCTGAAAAGTATGTCATATTGATTTTGTAATGACCTGAAAAGTATGTCATATTGATTTTGTAATGACCTGAAAAGTATGTCATGATTTTGTAAAGACCTGAAAAGTATGTCATGATTTTGTAATGACCTGAAAAGTATGTCATGTTGATTTTGTAAAGACCTGAAAAGTATGTCATATTGATTTTGTAATGACCTGAAAAGTATGTCATGATTTTGTAATGACCTGAAAAGTATGTCATGATTTTGTAATGACCTGAAAAGTATGTCATAATGATTTTGTAAAGACCTGAAAAGTATGTCATATTGATTTTGCAATGACCTGAAAAGTATGTCATATTGATTTTGTAAAGACCTGAAAAGTATGTCATGATTTTGTAATGACCTGAAAAGTATGTCATGTTAATTTTGTAAAGACCTGAAAAGTATGTCATATTGATTTTGTAATGACCTGGGGATTCTGCGCATGTCTGTTTTCCTTGATAAAATCTGTAGGAAAACGTATGGCAGAAAAAAAAATATAAGTTGATTTCTATGATCGAAAATTTTATTTTTCAGTTTTGGTATATTTTCGAAATGGCTCATACGAGTGTGATACTGTGACCACGTGTGATTAAAAGTGATTTAATGTTTAGAGAATGTATAGGAAATTTATTTTTACCCCTAAAGTGAAGGAAATATGTAAAACCATAACTCCTACAAAGTTCTGATGATGAAACACGAATTAAAAAAAAAAATCTCAAAATTCTTTAATAAAACTACAGACTTTGTACACGTTATGGATTTTTGTGTATTTATAGAGACAAAATGGTTAGTTACTTAGTTGCTTTCCTTCTAATGTGTTATCACAAATATCAAATCATATAGTACAAAAGTACATTAACTAATTATAAAGAGAATTAGTTAAAATCGTCTGACGTTAGAATACTTTTCTCCACCAAAATCTGAAAGAATTATCGATGGTATTCTTGCTTTTTATAATAATTTTGAAATAATTGCATTGTTCTTTATAAAGTCCTTGCTGATTATCTATTATCCTTTCTGTATTATATATTTGTATTATTGGTGCAGGGAAATGATATTCTTATAATAAAGAATCTTATTAAAATTTTGATTTGTGAATGTCCTACTGAAATAATATGAACCTTTGACTGCAATATGTTATATTTCTTTTTCCCCATGATTTGGAAAATGTCCATGATATGTTTTTATTTAAATGAAGGTGATAGATTCATAAATCCCATGTTTACTCCATTATGGTAAATGAATATCTGT